CTTGGTGTTTCTGTATGTGCTTCTACCTCCACACTTTACCTTTTGCTGTTTTCTCAGTTTGGGATGTGCACTTTCTTCCTTTAGTCAGCTCATGGGCTCATCACAGCCCATGTGGCACCCACTGCAGGGACCTACTGCAGCAGACGGCAGGGGAGGGAAGGCCTCTGAGCAGTGGTGGGAAGGAGAAGGAGCCACTGTGGTGCTCCACATCCTGGTTGTAGAGTCTTCACAGTGCCCGGTCAGGGTGTGAAGGCCTGAATTTTGCTCTGGAAAAAGATACCCTGGGGTTTGGCTCCCTGCTACTTGTCCTTCCTGGGGGAATTGGGAGCTCCCTCAGTGCAAAAAGGCCAGAGTCTCAGGGCCTGGGGGCCGGGGAGAGAAAGGAGAAGCCTCCTCAGGTCTTGTAGTGGGGAAGCAGGGATCCCAGCATGCAACCTGGGAAGGGCCTGGGCCAGCCTTTCGGCTCTGGAGAGATTCTTCAGGGCAGAGGTTTTCAAACTTTAGACTCTCAGCAGCAGAACCCTTTCCTTGAACACAAGGGACTTAGAGCACCCAAGTTCAAGCCTGAGGGAAGTGGGGTGGGGCTAGAGCCCTGGAAGCCAGGACCTCCTCTGAAGGACACCCTGGATCCAGGCTGGCGGACACACACACCCAGAGGGCCACTGCTGTAGGAGGAAGTTGGGACACAGGCTGCCCCTGGAGGCCTGGGACTGAGATGACAGCTCAGGGTTTTTCCTCGTAATGGAAACCTCCTCTTTTTGCTCACCTTTGGTATTTGGTAATGGCCCTCTTCAAACACTGGCCTGCCTTTTCTGTCCTTCAGAGGAGCCTATGGAAAGGATGGACCTTGCTGGGCTCCATGGGGCCAAGGAAGCCCTGGATGTCAACATGAGAGCCACAGGTGGGCTTGAGCTGGCCTTTTGTCCTGCCAACTGCACTGTCAGGGAGGCCTGGGTCAAGGGACCAGGTTTCTGAGTTTCTAGATTGTTTTTTGTGGAGGAAGTAACTTCTCATATGGGTAGCATTTCAGATTATCCTGGTTCTAAGAAAACCAAACAGACTGAATTGGGCCCCAGTTTCCTGACCATAGAATGAGGATAAAGAGGCCCCTGCCCTGCAGAAGGGAGGTGCTCCTGTCTAGGGCAGATGCGCTGTGTGTGATTTCCTTCCTCCTCATTGGGCTGTGGGGCGTGGCTCCAACAAGTGGAAGCCTCCTCACCTGGCTGCCAGGCATGCGCCCCTGTACTGTGCCACTGGTGTTGGTGAGTCCAAACTCATTCTGCTAACCATGTGACAGG